CTGATATTGAGCCACAAGAAAATGCTGATCGAAACGCACCGCAATGGAAGAGGAAAACTGGTACTAAAAACTGACACTAGATTGGCAATGGTGATCCCAGAGTTCCAATTGAAGGAATAATTTTGAATGTAAAGTAATAATAATTAATAAAAGAGTAGAGCGCAATGAACATAACCTTTTTCTATAGTTCTGCATGGAATTTCTTTACACTCGAGACGTGGAGCTTTGAGAATACTTTACGGGAGCTTAACAGGCTTGGCAGACGACAAACGGCCGGGGAGAATTTGCGTTTTGCTGGGGCTAATTAAACGCGACGTTTGGCTCAGTTTTCCCTGTTAATCGCGTTTGCTTGGAGATACGAATTCGGAAACTGTGTTAAAAATAGGTAAGCGAGAGTTAGGGATGATCATTTAAACTACGTGGAGGTTATGTTTCCATAAATGTTATCTTTTTAAATATCTCTCATTTGTCAGATTACCCAGGCTTGTAGAAATAGGAATATTAATGTAAATGTAGAATAGTAGAGTTAAATTTAGGAATATTTCCTAATGAGGACCATTTAACTAACATTTTAGTCAAGATCAGGAGGAAAAGAGAAATAAATAATATATGAAATAAAAAGAAATGAAATAAAACGAAATAAACTGGGTGATTCAGAATTCAAACTTCGAAGATAATTGTATTTAATTGAAAAAGAAAAATACTAAAAAATTCAAATCGAAAGTCCAAGAATATTCGTTCAAGCCGTGGCGGGTTGAGCGGTAAGGTAATTGTTAAATATTTGAGACCCGAGTGTCCAAATACTTACACAAGTGAGAATGTATAAATTTATTCCCCGACGATTCAACGTGGCCGCTAGCCTCAAAATTGAACGACAAACAGAAGCGTGATCACAGTAGGAAACTAGAAAATGCAATATGCAATTACCCGTTACACAACGGCCATTTTTATTAACTTAAACAATCCTCGCGTGCTAAAAATTAATAAATCCCCAAACCGCTAATCTTCTCCAGAATGCTCCATGTCACAGAATACCAATGAGCGAGAAACAAGGAATTCTTCGTAGCACAGGGTGGAAAGAAACAAATGATCGTGGAACCACCCGATCATCGCTTGACACGGAGCAAGGATCCGTGAAAGTGGGCCAATTAATCGGTTATTCAAAGCTTGTTAAACCCCATCTAGCTACGTATATACCGAGCACGGTGCACGAGAACTCGGTTGCGCTATCTATTCATCTCGTCTACAGCCTTCGTCACACGATCCAATTGGTAAACGTAATTTCCCTGACCAATGATTCGACTAGGTGCAAAACTGCGTATTAAATGGCGCATCTTCATCCACTCTGATCAATCCAGGCCTGCGTTCCTTCCCAGGCATGCATAGCTACAAAGAGGTCTAATGGAAGGAATGCGGATACTATTGGACCGATCAGAAGAGACTCGCCTACGCTTCGTTCAAGGAAGCTAGTTAGCTACTGTCGTTATTCTGTCTATTGTTAATTCTGGTGATCAGAACATCCCTTGGACTCATGGATGCATAGCACACAACGATGCGCTGGAAATATTTACGAGATCAAATTTTACAAAATATCACCTAACAGAAATTGTTTTTGATAACATTCTGAAGTTTTTGCTTAAAGTAAAAATAGACAAAACATATTAACGATGTGACCGAAGCCAAACTTAGTAAAATCAGAAGTAAGGCTCTCGATGCAACATCCAGGTTAGCCGAGGTTAGGTCAGCCAAGGTTAGGTTAGTCAAGGTTAGGTTAGGTTAGGTTAGGTTAGGTTAGGTTTGGTTAGGTTAGGTTAGGTTTGGTTAGGTTAGGTTAGGTTTGGTTAGGTTAGGTTAGGCTAGCCGTGGTTAGGTTAGCCTCGGCTAGGTTAGCCAAGGTTAGGTTAGCCGCGGTTAGGTTACCCACAGTTTGGTTAGCCATGGTTAGGTTAGCCAAGGTTAGGTTATGTTAGGTTAGGTTAGGTTAGGTTAGCCATGGTTTGGTTAGCCTTAGTTAGGTTAGCCAAGGATAGGTTAGCTACGGTTAGGCTAACCATGGTTAGGATAGCCACGGTTAGGTTAGGTTAGGTAAGGTTAGGTTAGCCATGGTTAGGTTTGCCATGGTTAGGTTAGTAAAGGTTTGGTTAGCCAAGGTTAGGTTAGGTTAGCCGCGGTTAGGTTAGCCGCGGTTAGGTTAGCCGTGGTTAGGTTAGCCACGGTTGGGTTAGGCGAGGTTAGGTCAGGTGACATTAGTTTAGTTTAGGTTAGGTCAGGTTAGGCTAGGTTAGGTTAGGTTAGGTTAGGTTTTGTTTGGTTAGGTTAGGTTAAGTTGGCCGTGGTTAGGTTAGCCACGGTTAGGTTAGCCATGGTTAGGTTAGCCATGTTTAGGTTAGCCGCCGTTATGTTAGCCACGGTTAGGTTAGGTTAGGTTAGGTTAGGTTAGGTTAGGTTAGGTTAGGTTAGGTTTGCCAAGGTAAGGTTAGCCGAGGTTAGGTTAGCCATGGTTACGTTACCCGCGGTTAGGTTTTCCACGGTCAGGTTAGCCTTGGTTAGGTTAGCCACGGTTATTTATAGCCACGGTTATTATAGCCACGGTTATGTTAGCCAGTGCTATGTTGGCCAAGGTTATGTTAGCCAAGGTTAGGTTAGCCACGGTTAGGTTAGGTTAGGTTAGGTTAGGTTAGGTTAGCCGTGGTTAGGTTAGCCTCGGTTAGGTTAGCCGTGGTTAGGTTAGCCGCGGTTAGGTTAGCCACGGTTAGGTTAGGTTAGGTTAGGTTAGGTTAGGTTAGCCGTGGTTAGGTTAGCCTCGGTTAGGTTAGCCATGGTTAGGTTAGCC